ACATATATATATATATATATATATATATATATATATATATATAATAAAAAAATATTTGATACATTTACGGAATGTATAAAACTCATAAATACTGTATAAATACCTTTTTAATAAATTAGTTTTCTTCATTTAACAGACCAATCCTTCATACCTGGCCAAGCTAATCTTCCAGATGCCCCAGAACAAATCCACCAAGTTCATGGACACTGTGATCTTCACGTTGTATAACTATGCTTCAAACCAGCGGGAAGAATACTTACTGCTCAAGCTTTTTGAGTCAGCCTTGCGAGAAGAGATCAAGTAAGATATATCTTAGATATACTTATCATTTCTATCTTAAAGATTCTATTTTAAGGATAGAGTTACTGTTTGTTAGCTCGAGCATGCAGAAACAGCACTGTTTTGGAGAGACCAATATACTGTACCTCTGAATTCATAATTAATGCATCAAACATCAGTCAAATGTCTGTGATACAATATATCTGCTGTCATATGTGGTAGATCTAAGGTGGATCATATCCAGGAAATAGTGACAGGGAACCCTACAGTCATTAAGATGGTTTTGAGCTTTTACCGTGGTGCTCGCGGGCAGAACGCTCTCAGACAGCTTCTAGGCCCTGTGGTGAAAGAGATCATTGAGGACAAGAACCTGGGCATCAACACTAACCCTGTAGACATCTACAAGGCCTGGGTTAATCAGCTAGAGACCGCTACGGGAGAAGCCAGGTTTAAACCTGCACACACCATCCATCTGCATTTTTTTTCTCATCTTCTACATATATTACACGCTTTCCTTTAGACATCCATTTCCTTCCATTTTTCCATACTATTTAAAAATTGTAACAATGAAAATTGCATGACCCAAATAATCAAGCTTTTTTCTATATATTGCTGTTTAAAAGTTTGAGGATTGCTTAGTTATTAGAGGAAATTAATGCTTTTATTAAGTGAAGATGCATTATATTTATCAAAAGCGACAGTAAAGGCTTTAACATTGTAAAAAGAAACAATAAATAATGTTTCTTTTTAAATTTCAATTCATCAAAGAATCCTAGAAAACAAACACATTATGGTTTCCACAAAAATATAAAGCAGCACAACTGTTGTCATAATTGATTTTATTTTTTATTTATTAATTTTTACCACTGTTGTTGGACTTCTAGTAAGCTGCCATATGAGGTCACTCCAGAGCAGGCTCTGTCACACCAGGAAGTGAGGGCTAAACTGGAATCCTCCAATCAGGTGCTCCGGACGGTCACAGACAAAGTGCTCGGCTCAATCATGTCATCGCTGGACACCATCCCGTAAGAATGAAGACCATCCCTGCCTTTCAAGCAGATGTTCAGTTCTGATTCATGCAGTTCGTTTTTATATCGCTTGTCAAGTTTGTCAGATATGCCTATTGTATTATGAAGGATACCTTCATGCATTAAAGGGGTCATATGATGCTTTTTTAAAGATCATTATTTTGTGTATTTGGTGTATCAGAATATGTTGACATGCTTTAATGTTGAATGTAACAGTGTCATTGTGCACCAGGGGGCAGCACAGTAGTTAAAAATATGGAGTCAGTCCAAAACAAGATACATTTTCAACACATAGCATTGTGTAATATTTTGCTCATGCATTACAGTCATCTCATTATTTTAAGGTATGGCCAGATTTTTTTTTCTGCTGCTGATCTGATTTTTACTTTTGCATCATTTTATCTGTTTTCTTTTGCATGCAGTTACGGCATGAGATATATTGCTAAAGTTCTAAAGGACACTCTTCATGAGAAATTCCCTGACGCCACAGAGGATGAATTATTAAAGGTCAGATGTTAAAAATTTAAGTGGTACCCCTGTATCCATACAAATGTTTAGTTTAAAATAAGTATTCACTAGGCCTGTCTGCAAAACTCTTTTCATACTTGAAATGTAGCTGTATTTGCTTAACGCACCAAACCACAACTGCTTAAAGATTTAACATCTTAAGAACCCAGGAAAATATTGGTTCACATGAAATAAGTGCTGTCTGAATGGTGCCATCTTCTTCCCACAGATTGTTGGGACTCTGCTCTATTACCGTTACATGAATCCTGCCATTGTGGCTCCAGATGGCTTTGACATCATTGACATGACGGCCGGTGGACAGGTGCATTCGGAGCAGAGGAGGAACCTGGCATCAGTGGCTAAGATGCTACAGCATGCTGCTGCTAACAAGCTGTTTGAGGACGAGAGCGACCACCTCACCCTTATGAACAGCTACATCTCCCAGACCTACCAAAGGTTCAGGTGAGGAGAACAGAGCACTTCATCAGTGTGAGGTTTGTCCAGAGTCACAAACAATAAATATTATTCCTGCTGGGAAGAATCCAAAACTATAGATAGATATATTGAAGAATGTCTCAGTGTTTTTTGTCCATAAAATGAAAGTCAGCAGGATCCAATGTTGTTTGGACATTAGGCAAAGTACTTACACACCTACTGGACAAAATCTGTCAACTTCAGTAAGAACTGTTTTTATATATTTGGATGTTTTTCACACAGTAATAAGCATAAATGAGTAACTTAACAAACTGAGCAATACTCTTAACTTAGAAGACACATTAGGGTTGTTTGTAAATAGAATGTTCCATTGAGTCTGCTTATTTAATTACCTAATAAAGCATGTCAAAATGATTTAGGAAAATAAGATTTTCTTATCTAAGTGATAAAATGTTGCATTGCAAAAATTAGTACTCCTCCAATTAGATCCAATTTTGGATCAACAGGTGAGTATGTTGAACCAAAGAAACAATTTCTTGACAATTATAAGTGTTACATAGCCCACTGAATCATTCTCAGACTGTTGACAACAATGGAATCACATAGGAGAGAACGTCTCAGGTTACGTATGTAACCCTAGTTCCTCGAGGGAACGAGACGCTGCGTCGAAAACGCTAGGGGAATGCCTTCAGTGACCCACGCTCTGAATCACATGTGAAATCAGTCCAATAGCTGAGCGGTACATCACGGCGGATGACGTCATGAACGGGAAGCTATAAAAGCACGTGCGGCGGAGCCAGCGTCAGCTTCTAGGAATGAAGCAAGCGCCGGCAGGGACGCCGGAAGTATGGCACCGAGACGCAGCATCTCGTTCCCTCGAGGAACTAGGGTTACATACGTAACCTGAGACGTTCCTCTTCAGGAACTCGAGCTGCGTCGAGAACACTAGGGGAACGAGAATGCCCACGTCGCCAGACTTCCAAATCTCTGCCTAGTGTGGAAGACTGCACAGCTAGGGCGAGAGAACAAAAGAGCAGGGGCTCCCACACCGCCAGGTGACCTCCTAAGGGAACCAGTCTCGCGAGACTGGCTTGTGGTGCGCTTAGAACAGCTAGCTCAGTGCCTTGACGCAGTGTACTGGCAGGGGACGGCCGTACTAGCTGCTCTAGATACCTCCGTAGAGGTAGCGAGCCTCTTAGTACCACTACGTTTCCGGGCGGTAACTGAGAGAAGCGCTCGCCAGAGACCGCTGCGCCCTGGAACACGGCAGGGTTGGCAGACCGACCTCCTGAGGGCACTGAGGAGAGACGGGCACCGTGTAATGCGGTGTGAACCTCTCTTCCCCAGAGGGGCCTGCCCTCTGAGGTCCTGAGCCACAGCATCAGGACTCTCATAGCTGAAGTCTCCTATTGAAAACGACGGCCCTCAGACCCACGTCGTCTGCTAGGAAGACTAGACACCAGCCTGCCGGGGCAGGACCCAATGAAGCAAACTCGGCAGGGGCTCCCACACCGCCAGGTGACCTCCTAAGGGAACCAGTCTCGCGAGACTGGCTTGTGGTGCGCTTAGAGCAGCTAGCTCAGTGCCCTGAAGCACCAGTCTGCTCGGGGCATGACCCATCTAGATACCTCCGTAGAGGTAGCGAGCCTCTTAGTACCACTACGTTTCCGGGCGGTAACTGAGAGAAGCACTCGCCGGAGACCGCTGCGCCCTGGAACACGACAGGGTTGGCAGACTGACCTCCTGAGGGCACTGAGGAGAGACGGGCACCGTGTAATGTGGTGTACACCGCTTCCTATCGAAACCTCAGACCCACGTCGTCTGCTAGGAAGACTAGACACCAGCCTGCTCGGGGCAGGACCCATCTAGATACCTAGATACCTCTAGCGAGCCTCTTAGTACGGCTATGTTTCCGGGCGGTAACTGAGAGAAGCACTCGCCGGAGACC